GCGTGAAATACCACCCAGAAATGTATTGCGTTTCTAGCGTTCTACGTTTGTGATTGTAATCTCTCTTTCTTGTTCTCTGTTTCTCAATCCTCCACATTTGCAAGTGTCTGCAATTCTGGCCCTTTCACTTCTTTGGTTGACTTACACCGAAAAGCAGTGGGTGATCAATCCTTTCCTACTTCTCTTTTTCACTCCCTCCTTCCAAATCTCAGTGATGCAATCCCATTATTTAGCTTGCAATCTCAGAGTCTGGCATGAGGAAGAGAGACAGAAAAAAGAAAGCATGAAAATTGAGTGCTAGTGCCCCAAATACGATGTATATAGGCTCAAGTTTGTGCGATATATCGACGTATTTTTATAAACGACATATAATGACCCGACAATACTGTTTATGTTGATATACAGTAGCTTGATTTTATGAGCGCACCTGAAAAATACACTGTAAAAAAAAAAGTTGCTGCTTTAAATTTTTAAGTTCAATCAACTTGGAGGTTTAAGTCATTTCAACTTAAATTACATTAAACTGACTTTAAAAATGTGTTGAATCTTGTATAACTTATAAAAAAAAGTTGAAAATTGCTTAACTTATTTTAATGAGTTAAAGCAATGTAAAAACATATGTTGTCATAACTCATGGATCATATAATAGTTTACAGTGTATAGCGGAAGACACAGATTGAGGCGATTATGCTGAAGACCCGTGATTAAAAAAACACTCTCTGCCATTCATCCATAACAGGATGAGGGTGGAGAGCAAAACACTGCTAAATAATGAATCACTGATGAGGAAGAAACAACAACATCCTACAGAAGGCAATGAGCACCACATCGCTCCCTCTCTCTCTCTTTTTCTTCATCACTCCTTCTTCACTCTCCACCCCCTGCGTCTGGCAACAGGACAAGGTCAACATAGCCTCCCCTCCTCTAAAATCCCCATTCCTCCTTCTCTCTCTCTCCGTATAGTCTGTCATCCAGACACACACACAAACACACACATTCCTCTGGCCACAGCAGATTCACTCAATTTGTTTCCACTGCGCTTTTAAGTGTACATTAGAAATGCAAAGAGAGAGCCAAGCTCATAAACAATAACAAGAAGCAGCTGCGGGCCGAGCGTGGCGATCGTGCGCAGTTTCTCCAGCGACGCGGAGCAGAGAGAAATCTGGGAGAACGACGCGGCAGAGAATCAGATGGACGGTGTGGATTAAGTGCAATTCGAAATTCTTCAGACTTAATTTTCTCTCCTCTCGCGCTCTCATATTTCTCTCTTTCTCTTGCTCGCTCTGATTTTCCATGCCTTTCCTCCTCCCCTTGGATTGCTCATGATTCGTAGAGGCCTCCAGGAACTCTGTCCAACCTCAAACTCAAGCCAAAGGGGGGAGAGAGATTGATAAAATAGAATGAGACATAAGGGTTGATGAAGAGAAAAGGGAGGGAGGGAGCTCAGGAATGAATTCTCTGTGTTTCTTTTGGAAATTAACATATTTTGCTCAATACCGTGAGTGTACAAAGCGTTCTTGTATAGGTAAAGTTTAGGACAATGTCATGAGGAACTACTGGAGACAAAGAATTTCAGAAGCAGCCATTGGTGGTTGGCGTTTCACAAGACAAGAATGTGCGGTTTCATCTCTCCTTTCTGCTTTCCTCACCCATTCTCTCCGCTGAACCCAATGAACCTCAATGCAAGTGAAAAAACCACATTATAAGTCAAAACAGAAGTATTACGAACACATCCGTGGAAAAAATCACAGTGAACAATGTCTCACGACACCACTGAAACATTCATGCACATACTCCCCAGCCACACACATTCAGCCACAATCTGTCTCTCATTCCATTCCTCAGACTCTCTGTTAATGTTGCATTTTGTTGCATCAGGACTGGGCTTGGCGTTGAACCGAGAACCTCCCAAAGTACTGCCATAACCACCATAGACACTGAGCTAGACTCAGCAAACACCCACATATTCAGATATTCAGATGCCTTTTTGCCATTAGTAATGCCCACACTCTGCCCTCCAAACAACATTTTTTCTCCTCTTTTCCACCTCGCCAACGATAACTTCTACTTCACATTGAGTGAAGTTACGTTTTTTTGATTTCCTCTATCATATGTTTGCCATGATTTCGCAATCGATGAATATTAACTTGTGGGCGTTTCACGGACTATTTATGGGCAACTATGGGCGTGACATGAAGCCGCAAAAGCTGCGCTACATTTAGAATTGATTGTGATTTATTAAAGGAAAAATGCGTAGGATGTGCGTGCGCACGGTTTTATAAATCCGAATATTTCTGTGCGTACGCACGTCCTATGTTTCATCCGTACGCCACTTCTGACGCAAATCCTACGCAAAGTTTTATAAATGAGGCCCCAGATGCTTATTAAAATGCGGATAAATCAACTCATCAACTTACAGTGTAAATCTTTCACTTAAATTGTTGTAGTTCATGAATAAAGTGAAAGCACTTCAAAAAGTAAGTGTTATTATTTATAGAAGATTAAGTTTGCTGTAAAGCAAATGTAGATGCACTTAACTAAACCATATTTATTTTATAAAATATATTTTTTACTAAATAATTTGGAATCTAAAATGCACTCAAAGCCATGTCTAACCAAGTTGTGTTCCAAATTTGAAGCTGATATCACAAAAATTGACCCCGCTAAAAGGTTTTATATACCGTTTCATGGTAACGCAACTTTCAATTTCAAAAAGGGTTTCACAGGATGAATTTTGTTTTTTTATTTATGATGATTACTAATGTGAGTGGGGAAAATGCAATATACTGACTACCGACTGATCAGTCAGAATCAAGTATTCTAGAAAGCTGTACAAAGTAACATGATATTACAGCATCTGGCACACAAATAGACACCCACCCACCTCAGGTGTCCTCCATTCACACCTGTAGCTGCCCTGACATGATCATTTTCATAAGTTATGTAACACCAGGTGGTCTCTGTTTATGACGGAGTCTGTTTTTCAAACCCATTTGGGCTTCAATATCTATTAAGAAATGTGGGTCAGACTGTCTGGGTAAAACTTGAGCAAAACAACACACACACACACACACACACACACACACACACAAAACCCTAATGTTTTTCTAGAGGTGTGCCGATACATTTTGTGTCTGTCCAGATGCACGCGACATGCCCGGCGGTTTTACCTCAATAATGACGTTCCGTCGGATTCCGAAATACGTGACCCGCTGAGACGACTTGAAGAGCGCGCGCGGTCCGTTTAACGCTTAAGATTAAAACGCCAGATGTCTTCATCAAAAACACTCTTGGATCCAGTTGACCATTTCTAACTCACGCACAATGCGAAATTGTTTAGGCTAAAAAAACGTTAACTGTTCGTTTAAGGTAAGAGCATATACAATTGTCGGGAAATATTATGTCAAGTTACGATAAATCGTTCCTAAATAAATACATTTCAAAGGAGCATCGCTTGCTTACGACGCCTGTCTCTACTGTCTCCCGGCTTCTTCCTCAATCTGAAAAAGAGACGGAGGGAGAGGGAGGAGAATAAGACAGAGGGTGGAGGACATGAAATGATGATTCTTTATTTTTTCCTCCAGATGTGGTCTCTCTCTCTCTCTCTCTCTCTCTCTCTCTCTCTCTCTCTCTCTCTCTCTCTCTCTCTCTCTCTCTCTCTCTCTCGTAGATTAGGCTAGGCTACTGTATTATTCTCCCTCCATCCTGCCCTGCTGTGTGACTCCGCCCCCGCATGGAGACGTAGCGTGAAGACGTCTGTCTCGCGTCTGAAAACTCTCGACTTTGGTCGAAGTGTCTTGTCGTAGCCTCCCTTATCCTCAACTCAACTCAACTCTCAGTTTGCTTGTGTAAAAAAACAAAAAACAAAAAAGGTTTCCAGGTTGATTAGCCTACTTTAAAGCCATTCATTTTTGCAATAGGTCTCGTTGGATTTGTGCTTTAATCATTTTGTTTCTGTGAAAAAAATGATCATAACAAAAAGTATTTTACTACATTCATATACAATATATTGTATTTGAATGCTATAAAGTACAATAATACCATGTTGTAGCTATGTATTATGGTAATACTGGCACTTAGCACTCTTTTGTTAGTGTAGCCTAAGTGTCCAGTCAAGACCTTAGTGTAGCCTAAGTGTCCAGTCAAGACCAGGGATGGGCTAACTCGGTCCTGAAGGGCCATTGTCCTGTTAGCTCCAACCCCCATAAAACTCACCTGCTTTAGCCTTCTAGTAATCCTAAAGATATTGATTAGCTGGTTGAGGTGTGTTCGATTAGGGGTTGGTGAAACTCTGCAGGACAGTGGCCCTCCAGGACCAGGACCCATGAGTCAATAGAAGCGCCATCTGGTGGTCACTTGAGATACTGTCTAGAATTAAAGTCCCCATGATTTCAAAATGGACTATTCGTTTTTTTTTTTTTTTTTTTTTTGTGGAATACCAAAGTATTTACTATAAATGATTAATCTGTTATTTATTTTAAATTCATGTGCCCTTGATCTCTTGCAGTGACTTCTCTGATAATGTGTTTATTGGCGCAAGGGCTGGGCAATGCATGTCACTTTTTGCACGCATGATATCACAGCAATCCAATCAATTCCCCATTAACAAAATCAAGTCTTTTTTGCCGTTTCACTCGGACATATGTCAAAATATCGCAACTTCCGTTTCATGCCTTACATTGTTTTACTATGATTTTTTTTTCCTCATTTTTTTGTTTAGTGTAAATGTAGTCAATATAAGTGCACCAAAGTGGTGACCACAACTATGTTCTTGTTTATGTTTAAGTGACCAGTCACTGGATTCGGTCCCTCTGAGCGAATAACTGAATCTTCCCTTACAACTCCACATTAGTCCGGTTACCCAAAAAGTAGGCAAAGGTTAAAGGCCATCTGACTGGAGAAGGCAGCTGCTCCCATGCTGACGCTTGTGCAAATGCTTCAATGTCCATGAGCGCCGCCCCACCCCCAGGCCCTCCGCAGGCCCGCTTGCGTCTCTCCAGGGGTATATATAGACTGAGAAGGGAACTGGACAGTCCTGGCAGTCAAAATGAGGCTTTTCCTCCCCTTCTGCTGCCTGCTGTCTCTACTGGCCCTCACCACTGCAGGTAAGAAGCTTAAAAAAATGAAATTTGAACACAGGCCGGCTGCTGAACTAAGAGCTGCAGTTGACTTCTATGTTAAGAGTGACTGGCTTTTTGTCTAGGACAAACTGGCCTCAGGTTTAGCATAAGATACAGACTATAATCTGAAATCCTAGATCGGATTGCTTGTCCTTGGTGAAGATGAGAGCTGCATCGGTTGCATATTCATATAGCTAATGTATATGGTGAAGTGTTTTACGGAATGGAAATGTGGAGTTTCTTGGTAGCAGAATTTCCTCTCATTTTTGTCTTTATGAACTTGAATATGTGGTTAAAGTAAGTTAATGCAAATCAATTGTTCCTTGATCTCAAGTGTGAATTATTCATTATATTCTGAAATATACTCCTCTTTTTCATTTTGGTTACATATACTTTTAAGTATTTAAGTTTTTAAGTATGCCTTTAAAAATAAGAAATACTATTTATTCACAAATATCCATAAATATCATAATATCCATAAAAACTGTACTATACTATCCATAAATATCAGGAATGGTGAGAGAACATTGTGCTTAGTGCTTGTTTCGTCTTCAAACCAAACTTAGGTTTTCAGCCAGTAAAGTTTTTGTGACTGTTCAAAAGTATTGAACCACATGAGCGTTTACACTACGAAAGCAATCCGGTCGGATGCATTTTCGACTACCTCTGGAAGAATAGTCGACTATCCGATCGACCAAAACGCATCTTAATACCAGGTGTAAACGGGGCCATTGTCATCTCGGATGCATCAGAGAAGCTATTGGCACAAAGGTAGTCTGCAGTAACAAAACTTATTCTTATTTCTTATTCTTACAGATGTAAATATTATAGGGATAGAACGATATAATCATTTTGCTATACAGATATCAGATAATTATTTATATTTAAAAACCGATAACTGATATATTGGCCGATATATCTAAATCCAAAATTTTATATAATTTTTGAGAGCCTGATTACAAAAACAAAAGTATCACCATTAAAATCCATGTCCCAAGCACACAATTATAATGATGCTCTTAACTGTATTTTCTTTTTTTGAAGTGATTCCAATCATATTTCAAGCAATTCAAAACCATCATGGCAAACAGTGCGCATCTGAAGTGTCTCAGCTGAAGGAAATCATACATTATTTATCGCTTTAATTTCGGCCAAATTTTCATATCGGGCCGATAACAATAACATTAAAAATGAGCATATATCAGCCGATACCGATATGGTGGCCACTGGCCGATATATCGTGCATCCCTAAATATAAATTCTCATGTCTTGTTCTCTAAAACTCCTATAGAATTCATGATTCTATTCAAATTGCAATCAACTGTAAGAGAAACAGTTTGCGGCTTTCTAGTTTCTAAGTAGTGCAAGAAAGCCATTACTGTTGGTCAAATAATTTGAGGCTGTAGCTTCCTCTGGCTTGCTTTTAAGTATTATCCTTGTCTGTCCTTGCATTGTTCTTGTTCTCTTTCTGTGTCTGTACGGTCAGGTGGAAAGGCCTAGTGCACTATGAAATCAGACACTCTTCCTCGGGCGTTTGCGTGGTCATGCTTCACAGCTCCACTTACACGCCCCCTTGTACTTTCTACCCGCATTTACACTTCCAGTCCACAGCTGCGGTCACAACGGTACTGTCTCAATCAGACTTTATTTCTGTCTTGCAGGCCTTGTAGGGGCAACCATTATGTTAACAGGACTTAAAGCCTCTGTCCTGCCTACTGTATGCGGCCTGTTTTAGCACCTGGGGTTTTCCCTGTACAGTCCACTCACGGCAGCCAAGCATACGCAGACATTACTCGCAAACCAGAGTAAACAATGTTGCTACACAAACGCATACAATCAGCAAGCCGTACACACTTAAGGTATTTGAAAACACAGCCACACATGCAGTATACAAATAAAACTAAACCAAATCAATGCAAATTGAAACCAAATCTATACACTCTTAAGGCAAGTTGTAAATATTTTACGTTTTGGCGAACGGATGGCTAAACTCGTTAGGTGTGGACCTTTAATCATATTTTTTTCCCAAAAATCATATATTTACATACAAATCACATCATGTGAGTTTATATAAAATTGTCACCTCATACAAAAGATTCCTCGTGAGATTGAGATTGAACCAAACAGACAAAATGCCATGTGAATTATCGGTAACACTTTAGAATACTGTTCCATCATTAAAGGTGCAATATGTAGGTTTTCGCCGCCAGAGATCGCATTTTCAAAACAATAACAAAGGCGAAGCTTGGTGGCGCTATGAAGGAGAGTGGAACGATGGGAAATGTCGTTTTCACCATTTCTCTAATCATGTTCACGGATGAGGTAATTAATTAGATTTTGTATTACCTGTACGTTTGATCACATTATTTTATGTCATCATGATGAATTAGCTGAAAGGAACGTGAAATGCAATGCTATATTAGCCTGTTACTGATATATGACTATTTGTCAAATGATTTCATGGGTTTACACGTTTAAAACAATCCTACTAAAAGTCAATTTGAATGAACCCACAGTATTTGCAAGTAATGGCTAAATATTTTTAAGCAGCACATACTGTATTTAATTTCACTGCCATAGACTTGGTCTCCTGTTAAAAAGAGTCACTGAAGTAAAAACAAAATGCAATATAACTGTATGCAAACAATAAATAATATATATGTGCTTAGCTGTCTATTAAAACACATGCGAGAACGGTGTCTCTGTCAAGTCCAAGTTTGTCGCGAAACTCTCCATCTCAAAAACGCCACGTCGATATTGATCCTTGTTTTATTTCTCTGTTTTCCCCAAAAACGGTTTACGGTTTTTGACTGAACGACACAACAGTGGCGTGCGAGATACTGTATCATAGGTATATATAGACATAGATGCCTCAATAGTGGCTTACGTAAAGTGGCCAATTGAAACGGCCGCTAATGAGGCGTCTATGGTTTCTACAAGCGGAAACCGAGGATAGAGCGGATATTACGTCATTGATACGTGACAATGACAAGGGACGAGCCATTATTTAAAACTTTATTTATTTTAACATTGTTTAAATTGGAATTTCTCTGAATTTAAAAATCCTTGGGATCTTTTGGGATAATGTAAGTACACAACTGCATGAAATAGCCTATATCAATCACAATGTGTAAGTGCACTTTTTAAATATATTATTACAAAAATCTTACATATTGTACCTTTAACACGCTAGTAACTACTATAAACTAACAAGAAACTTTGATTAACGAAATAGTGAGTAATAGTGCTCAGTTGAATGTGGCAGTTAGCTATTCTACATATTAGCTATCAATATTATTGTTTTTAAATACCCCCCTAAGAAGAGTAATGCACATTGTATAACTGATTCTAAAGTAAAGATCAGTGGTAACGACTCAAGTATTTCCAAATCCTTTAGAAGGAACGGCTAATTATTTGGATCAGTATTCAAAGTGAAAAACATGATAATTCTCTGTGACCGAAGTCATTGTAAACTTTTGAGGTTTTTTGTAAGGTTTCAGATAGTCATTGCTTCAGATGGATTTGGTAACACTTGAGTCATTACTAGTGGGTTTCCATGATCTTCACTTTAGAAAACTGATCCAAATGACCAGTAATTCCTTTAGAAGGATGTAGTAACACATGAGTCATCACTATCCAAAACCTTAAAAAAACCTCAAAAGACTACAATGACTTCAGTCATTACTAGAGTTATCACATTTTTCATTTTCATTGTGAAACTTTTGATCAAAATGCACATAAATTCTAAAAATGCATAAAAAAATTGGGAATGGAAACAAATTTTCCGATGGAAACAAATTTACCAAGAAAATCCCTTGATGCGCAACACAAACCAAAACAGTGGATGTGATTGGATAACTGGACCAATTTCATTGCACAGCATCTCAAATGTTGGTTTGATCATTCTGAAATGCCTGAGCCAAAGTCTGTCATCAAAATGAATTGGTATAATGACCTTCCAGAAGTGTCTCACATGATTGCATTGGATTTTGCCTGGTGACCACAGCTATCTTTGAAAAATCACTCCTGTAGACACGACCGTCACTGTGTGCTTGTAGAGTAGAATAGAGTAGCTTGGCAGAAGGAAGTCAATGGTATCAAAAAAGGAGTATACATATACAAGCTGAACCTCAATGTCATTTTAGGAGAGAATAACCGAGAAACTCTTTCTCAGCGGGCAGGCTATTTGTGTCATGGTGAAAACCAGGGACTTGGGATCGAGCACCTGTCCATTCCTGTCCTCACCTCAGAACATACTGTCAAAGGGGGATGGGCTACTCTCCGTCCCTTACAACTTGAAAAATGCAGAAGATCTTGTATATATATGACTTAGTTGGTTTCATACTGGGGTAATTCATGATAGAGCTGCTCTTATTTTTGCTCCCCAGCCATTGTCTAAAAAACAATACCTGTGTGGATTTAAGTAAATCAAAATGGCAGAATATGATACTGAGCTATACACACTATTCTGTAGCACATGACAACTAGCCTTTCTGTCAATTTCAGTGACATTTAAATGAAGACCTCATTATGAGGTCAGAGAAATAGTTATCATTCCCTCATCTATTTTCTTATAAGTACTATTTCACATTATAGCGTTGTTGCGATGATGTAACCGTAATCTTGGACTGGTAAAGATAGCAGTAAAGAGTAACTCCTATAACATGGCCTTAGGCCTTCAAAAGTATTAGCACACTCATGGTTGCATTGATGACACTTACTGTACACTTTGTCTATATGGCCTAAATACAGCTCTCCTGGGTCTGTGAGTGTGTTAAGTGTGCAAAACATATCACACTTACACTGACCAGAGCCAATTCAATCAATTAGAGACTTCTAAGGAACACACAAGCCTGTCAAGAGATAATTTTTACAAGCAAGTGGTCAAATGCCAAAGGTGGAACATGTTTATCTGAACTAACTATAGCCAATCTGGTGCCCTCTGCTGTCAGCACGATTTTGAAATTTTGCTTAAGTGTATCGAAGACACTTTCCTCCAGTTTCACTGACAAGAATTAAGCCTATAGTCTCAGATTAAAATGCATTTTTGAGCTGTTTTAACAAAAAGCAACTTGCACTGACATACTAGTATCTTAAAATATATCATAAGCCAGAGCCAGTGTTGTCTCAAGATGCACGTCAATAATGTTTTAGGGCCCATTTAATGTCCTAATTGAAGTAAGGCCTAGTCCTGGCTTTATCTAAATCCTGTCTGTGAAACCGGGCCTACAGATGAATTTGGGGTTTGTCTTTTATATATATATATATACTCCTATAGAGACACCTATGGTTCTTGACTCAGTTTTAAAGAACTCTTTACCCCTAAAAGGTTCTATGAAACGCCTGACGGAACACTTTAAGGTTCTATAGAACATTTTCTTCTATGAGTCTAATTTGACAAGTCCTTTGAATATGCATTTTTTACACTTTAATACTCTAATGCAGTCCTAAAGTAGGCATATAATATAGTACATAACAAATCTCCATGAATTGCATTGAAGGCCACTGAAATGGCTATGAACCGAAAAACTTCAGTCTGCAACAAATTATACCAGAAAACAATATTAATCCACAAATTAATGCACCGGTATTTACAATTCGATGATTGTTTGCATGAAAGCAGAGCTGTACGCTTCAGTGGAAGCATTTGACATTAAACCTAGAGGTGGAAATCTTGGTACAAAGTCGTCATGCTAACACCCTTATCAGATCCGGAGGACAGTATGAAAAACAAACCTTGCTCTAATGAGCCACATGAACAGAAAAGACTTGGCGTTCTCTTCTCCTGCCAGCTCTGCTTCCTATTTCAGGATGTGATTCACATGAAAAGCATTTAGCTCTCATCGAGCACATTCATCGCTGCATGAATCACAGACATGGGTCATCACCACAGACTCACATATTTGCACCAAAGCAGCCAAGTCATGTTGTTCATAAACCATGGTATTACAGCTATAACATTTTCAGATATAGTTTACATGGTTTAGGACAGTAACCACGGGTGTTTTGTTTGACGTTGTAGATAGTGTGGTCTCAAACACAGAATGCTAAATGCTAATGTTATACTGTATGTCAGATACTTCTCTTCAGGAGAAGTGATGTTATGAGGAGGGCAGAGATGCGACTTGAACTGGTGATGCACCAATATTTCGGCAACCAATAATATTCTGCCGAAAACAAAAAATCAGTTTGCACTTCCCTGTGACCAGAAATTATGCTAAAGCAGTTAGTCTGAAATATCGTGAGCGACTTGTTGCTGAAGAACTTTACTATGCCAGCAGCCAGATCACCCTGTAGCTCAATTATGGTTGCCCACTGAAGCTAAACAGGGTTGAGCCTGGTTAGTACCGGGAGACTTCCTGGGAAAACAGGCTGTTGCTGGAAGCGGTGTTAGTGAGGCCAGTAGGAGGCGCTCACCCAGTGGTCTGTGTGGGCCCTAACGCCCCAGTATAGTGATGGGGACACTATACTGTCAAAGAGCACCGTCCTTCGGATGAGACGTTAAACCGAAGTCCTGCCTCTCTGTCATTAAAAATCCCAGGATTTCCTTGAAAAAAAGAGTAGGGGTGTAACCCCGGCATCCTTGCCAAATTTGCCCATTGGCGTCTGTCCAAATCATCCCCATATACTGATTGGCTTCATCACTCTGTCTCCTCTCCACCAATAAGCTGGTGTGTGGTGGGCGTTCTGGCACAAAATGGCTGCCGTCGCATCATCCAGGTGGATGCTGCACATTTGTGGTGGTTGGGGAGATTCCCCCTTCCAAGCACTTTTAATGCCAATAAATGCTTAAAATATAAATGTAACAAATTATTATGACTGTTTTATGACCTGTAAACAACACCTTGAACAGAATACGAAATCAATTACCCAATTTTTATTAGTGAAACCTGATATTTGGTTTTCAACTAAATTACAAAATTTTAATTCTGATTTCAGTAAAAAAAAAAATTTTGGTGCATCACTAACTTGTAGATAGTCATTTTTGTTGCCATTGTGTTGTAATAATTTAGATTTATTTATTTGACAGATGCTTTTATCCTAAGCGACATTGTATTTAAGGTACACATTTCTTGCTTTCCCTGAATCGAACTCATGACCTTGTTTGAGCAACAGGAAGCCATGTATCCAAATATGATTTATACTTCATAATGTGGGAATGTGCTGAGTTATATATTGGTTAATTTGATTGTTTTCCTTAGCAGATGCAGTGGGGTCTGAGACTGAGCCGCTATTGCCGCTCCAGCTGAAGTCTGAAGGACAGCTGTTCAACTGCTGTGATGGCACAGAGGATATCAGTCCAAGCTCCTCCAATGACACTCCTGCACCAAACAGACCTGTCTGCCAACCCTGTGGCACCGGTGCTCATATTGACACCGAGGCAGAAGATGTCAGCTCTAACGAGGACGAAGAGGATGAGGCTGTTTCAGAAGAGAAATCTGATGAGTTGAGTCAAGATGAGGCCTCTTCTGAAGAGATATCTGAGGAGGAAGCACATGAAGAGGAGGCAGAAGTTGAGTTAGAGGCATCCAATGAAGTGGTGGAGGAGGACGTTCTTGAGGAGGCACATGATGTGAGGGAGGAGGAGGAGGAGGAGGAGGAGGAGAATTCAGAGGTAGACAGTGATTTAGGGGCACAAATGGTTGTTGAGGAATCTGTTGAAGAGGAAGAGGCAGGTGAGGAAGAGGAACTTTCTCAGACTGAAGAAGAGGTAGTTGAGGTAGAGGAGGGTCTTCAGATTGAAGAGGAGGCAGGTGAGGAAGAGGAACTTTCTCAGACTGACGAAGAGGTAGTTGAGGTAGAGGAGGGTCTTCAGACTGAAGAGGAGGCAAGTGAGGAAGAGGAACAGACTGAAGAAGAGATAGTTGAGGTAGAGGAGGGTCTTCAGACTGAAGAGGAGGCAAGTGAGGAAGAGGAACAGACTGAAGAAGAGATAGTTGAGGTAGAGGAGGGTCTTCAGACTGAAGAGGAGGCAAGTGAGGAAGAGGAACAGACTGAAGAAGAGATAGTTGAGGTAGAGGAGGGTCTTCAGATTGAAGAGGAGGCAAGTGAGGAAGAGGAACAGACTGAAGAAGAGATAGTTGAGGTAGAGGAGGGTCTTCAGACCGAAGAGGAGGCAAGTGAGGAAGAGGAACAGACTGAAGAAGAGGTAGTTGAGGTAGAGGAGGGTCTTCAGATTGAAGAGGAGGCAAGAGACGAAGAGGAACTTTCTCAGACTGAAGAGCTATTGGAGCAGGTGGAAAAAAGATCAGAAGAGGTAGCAGAGGAAGAGGACATAGAAGAGGAAGCTGTAACAGAGGAAGAAGAAGTTCCTGAGGTTGAACCAGAAGAACCAGAAGCCTTAGAAATGGTGGAAACAGAAGAGATTGAGGACCTTGCAGCAGATGTTGTTGAAGAGGTTGTTGAATTGGCCAAAGAGGCGACTGAGAAGCTTGTAGAACCAACTTCAGAGCAAATCATGGTCCAAGAAGAAGTTCCTGCACCGGCTGAAGAAGTAACGGTGGAAGAAGTGTCAGATGATATACCAGCATCTAAAGCGTCTGCCGAAGGTACAGTATAGTTCAGTCAGCATTAATAATATTGAACATTTAATGTTAATATGAAAATAACAGTTGTATTCTGTTTTGGAGCCAGGTTATTATTGTCAACTAAGATGAATAATAGTCAATACATTGTTTCCTGTGATTGTGATTCTAGTGTAAATACAGACGCAGCTTCTTCCTCAGAGATCTTGTTTACTTCAGGTGTAAATTGAAACTGTGGCAATGTTCTGTTGATGCCACAACTGATTCCTTAAAGGGATAGTTCACTCAAAAATGAAAATTCTGTTATCATTTACTCACCCTCATGTTCAATTCAATTCAATTCAAATTTATTTGTATAGCGCTTTTCACAATACATATTGTTTCAAAGCAGCTTTACAGAAAGTGCATTTCAGAAATGTACATAGAAAAATACAGTTAGTTAATCATGTATTAATTTAGGGCATAACATATCGCCGGCGTTGAGTCGTCTCTTCACAGGCGTCGAGTCGTCTCATCGCAGGCGTTGGGGACTCTGAAGTCTCCGTGAGAGGCTGGATACAAACTGGAGCTGACGAACGCTATTTACCTCGGGACTAGCGTCCCGAGATAACAGCAGAAAAGCAGATGGGAAATAATTAGCGTAGCTGCTGTTCATAATATTAATGCATTCGATCTGATTCAAAAGTGGTATAAAAGGTAAGCATTATGTGAATGCTTGGCTGAAGAGATGCGTCTTTAATCTAGTTTTGAACTGGGACAGCGAGTCTGAGCAACGAACAGTATCAGGAAGGCTATTCCAGAGTTTAGGAGCTAAATGTGAGAACGCCCTCCCTCCTTTAGTGGACTTAGATATCCTAGGAATGACCAGAAGCCTCGAATTCAGTGATCGCGATGGATTGTAGGGCGATAGAAGATCCATTAAATACACAGGAGCTAGACCATTTAGGGCTTTATAGGTCAGTAGTACTTTGTTGTTCCAAACCTGTAAGAATTTATTTTCTTTTGAAGATATTTTGAAGAATGTCTGTAACCAAACAGTTGATGGGCCCCATAGTTTTTTTCCCCATACTATAGAAGTCAATGGCCATCAACAGTTTGGCTACCCATATTCTTTAAAATTTCTTTTTTTGTGTGTGTTTAGAACAACTTGAGGGTGAGTAAATGATGACAACATTTTTATTTTTGGGGTGAACTATCCCTTTAACTAGAATGCCACTGATACAAAATACATAAACACAAAATAGAAATATGTCCATAAAATAAAAACCAAATGGTAACTATTTAACAAAAGAATTAAAACGTAAAGTTTTTTTTTTTTTTCAAAAGCCACATAAAAAAAATGTTGATGACATGAGATTCAGGTTTTATGCTGGCTATTTGTCCTCTGGCAGTGGAGGAAACAACCCCCTCAGGTTCTGCCTCAAGAGATCGATCTCACATTGAAGAGACGCTGCGTCTGGCAACAGCTGAACCTTCACGGGAATTTGTTGGTGAGTCATATAATGAAAATAAAAAATTATAAAATAAAGTATTACATCCTGGGCTGTTCAGTATTTACCATATCAGGCCAGTTATGTCTACATTAACTAATGACATTTTACCTTGACTAAAACAGTTTTGTGTGAGCTCATTTGTTTGGTCACACGTCACCTATAGTGTGCAAAATCATAAACAATTAATTGTTTGCTCAGAAATATCTTGCTTATTAGCGCTTCAAGAATTTATTGAACTTCCCACAATGTGCACTGTAAATGTGATTTTTCTTTTGTCAGATCAACTTAGATCATTTATGTGGTTCAAATAACATAACATTTTGAGTTTCTGTTGATTAAACCAATCTCTTTCATTGTATTAACTAATTTTTTTAATTTCAATGAACTTAAAATCTTAAGGCAACAAGGTTACTAAGCCAACAATATTTGTTTTACAGTGAAACCCATAATTAATTGAATATCTTATTTATCTATTTTACTTATTCAATATCTTGCATCTTCATTGCAATGTTTATATAATCTATGTAGCAATGTCTATAATGCAAAGCAAAATCAGTCCCCAGAAAATGATCAAATTATAAACAAGTTCACTCTGCTATTATTATTTGTTTTGTAATCATTTCATCAACTCTACCTCTCATAGACGCTCTGAAGAAGCTGCAGCATGTCTACCACACTGCCATTAAACCCTTGGAGAATGCCTACAAATACAATGAGCTCAGGCAGCATGAAGTATCAGGTGAACGGATGTTTTACCACATCAGATGACTGCTTTACTACCACAAAAAGTGTCAAAATGAAGCCCTCGCCTCAGTTAAACGCTCTGTTTTCTTCACACTGATCAGATGCAGAGATCACCTCTAAGCCCATGGTCCTGTTCCTCGGTCCCTGGAGCGTTGGCAAGTCTTCCATGATCAATTATCTTCTGGGTCTCCATGACACTTCACAACAGCTTTACACTGGTAACACATCAGTCATTAAATGGATGAATGTACAACGAAAGAACCTCATTAAATGAGCTATTACATAAGAGAATACTAGTTCAACATACAACATCTCCTTCATCTCGCTCTTTTGCTTTCTCAGGGGCTGAGCCCACAACCTCAGAATACACTGTCCTAATGCACGGGGAGAAGGTCCGCAACATCGAGGGCATTGTTATGGCTGCGGACAGTTCCCGCTCTTTCTCGCCACTGGAGAAGTTTGGTCAGGGGTTCCTGGAAAAGCTGGTGGGAATCGAGATGCCGCACAAACTCCTGGAGCGCGTCACATTTGTGGACACACCTGGAATCATTGAGAACCGCAAACAACAAGAGAGAGGTGAGAAGACTGCATTGACAAAGACACAACAAATATAAAGAGTCTAATATTTGAAAGAGGATTTTCAGCCAAAACGCACCTCTCAATCCGAATTGAATATTGTTAAACGTTGTGGCTTATTTGAAGCAGGGATGGTAATCGTTAAGATTTTAACCATTTCTGTTCCTTAATGGTTTCATTAATGATTATTTTAGTACTTGTAAGGAAAACATGCTTGGAAAAAGAGATGAAGTTCAATTTATGAATTATGAGATCATTTAAATTTGAATGAATTTAAAACAATGCTTGCAAAAAGATTTTTTTTGATGACTTTTCACAGTTTTTTAGAGGTAGCATAAATGCAATAAAGTTATTGGGCTTAACTATTAAACAACAATACTAAAAATTAAACAAAATTAAAAGTTTAAGGTCAGTATGATTTTTTAATAATATTTGTATTCAGCAATGATGCATCAGATTGATAGTATAGACATTTATAATGTTATAAAATATTTTAAAATAAATCATGTTCTTTTGAATTTTCTATTCATCAAAGAATCCTGTAAAAAAAAAAATTATACGGTTTCCACAAAAATATAAGCAGCACAACTGTTTTCAACATTAATAATAATCAGAGCTGTTTCTCGAGCAGCAAATCTGCATTAGAATGATTTCTGAAGGATCATGTGACTTGAAGTAATGAAGACTGGAGTAATGATGCTAAAAATTAAGCTATGACCACAGGAATAAATTACACTTTATAATATATTAAAATAGAAAACAGCTATTTAAACTGCAATAATATTTCACAATTACTGTTTATACTGTATTTTTGTTCAGCCTTGGTGAAGAGACTTTAAAAATCAAAAACATCTTTACAGACCCTAAACTTGAATGGTAGTGTATATCTTTAACTACACATTATATGAACAACCAGTCAGTAACTAGTTAGTTGTGCATATTTGACTCACTAAAAAGAATTGACTCATTAAAGTAATTATTTTGGGAATTGGACTACACTTCTTGCGCTGAATGCATTTGATTCACTAAAAGAACCAGTTCGTATGAATCATTCGCACGAGGATGTTGCTAGTTTTGGCCGTGATTAGCAATTGGGCTGGTTTTGTTACGCAAACCTGGCAACCCTGACAATGCTTTACTGGTTGCACATTTACCCCCGGTTTCACAGACGAGGCTTGAGCCTAGTCCTAGACTTAAATGCATGTGTGAGCTGGTTTAACTGAAAGCAACTTGCACTGACATATCAGTGCCATTGTTTTGATGCACACCAGTAATATTTTTTTCTAAGGCATGTTTATAAAAGCTATTTAAATGTCTTAATTTAACTAAGGCATAATGGCTTTATCTAAGCCCTGTCTGTGAAACCAAGCCCTAGTTTTTTAGTTTTCGCGCCACAGATTCACTAGTGGTGTTTCGGCGCCACAAAATGCATTGTTTCACTTTGTACCGTATTTTAGTACGGTAATCCCCTCGGCATCTGAGTGCGTTTTTTCTCTCAAAAGAACCATTTCTGAATAAGAATCAGATTCTAAGATAAAAGTATAACATTCTGCCTTTGAACACGTTTACAACTTGTGTTGTTGTCCTTTAGGGTACCCCTATAGCGAAGTGTGCCAGTGGTTTATCGACCGCGCTGACCTCATCTTCCTGGTGTTTGACCCAACCAAACTGGACGTCGGGTTAGAACTCGAAATGCTGTTCAGACAGATGAAGGGACGCGAGTCGCAGATCCGCATCATCCTCAACAAGGCCGACAGTCTGACAACCCAGGACTTGATGCGTGTATACGGCGCCCTCTTCTGGAGCATGGCCCCCCTGATTAATGTGACTGAACCCCCGCGCGTCTACGTGAGCTCCTTCTGGCCGCAGGACTACAATCCTGACACCAACAGAGACCTTTTTAAACGTGAGGAGATCTCCTTGCTGGATGACCTAAATCAGGTCATTGAGAACCGCCTGGAAAACAAAATCGCCTTCATCCGCCAGCACGGCATCCGCGTGCGCATCCACGCCCTCCTAGTCGACCGCTACTTGCAGACGTATCACGAGAAGTTGGGCTGGTTTAGTGACCCACAGGAGGTTTTCCACGATATCGTCAGTGACCCTGACAAATTCTACATCTTCAAGTCCATTCTGGCCAAGACCAATGTGAGCAAGTTCGACTTGCCAGAACCGGAGGCGTACCGGGACTTCTTTGGAGTGAATCCTCCCGGCGGCTTTAAGGTCCTCTCCTCATACTGTGGCTGGACTGGAGGATGCCTGCTGGAGAAGATTGATAAGGCCATCACAGATGACCTGCCGGCTTTGCTCAGCAGTTTGGCAGAGAAAAGGGAAGCCAAGGAAGAGGCAGCTGCAGAAGCCAAGGAGAAACCCCAAAACCGTTGGCGAAGACAGTAAAAGAAGAACGGAGTGAGGGTTTATTTTCTACCTGAGGCACAATCAGTCAAGTCTGAGGGCACCAAAGCGTTGAATGAATGGATGGATGAGAATTACAGTTATGAATAAATGGTTATAAATAAAGCAAGGAAGGGAGAGAGTAAAAGTGACATAACATTTGTGAGATTCACATCAACGGGAAGCCAAGTTAAACACAGATACTTTTACCAGTCAGATCTGAAGGAAGGGAATCAGTGTCTTCTCTCGGTTATTCTTTTTCTTCCTTGTTCTAATTTCAATCGGTTTGCAAAACATTACTTATTTATACTATGTTCAGAATAAATATAACATGTCATAATATTATTTATTTCTTGTTTGAATGTCATGTGAATATGCTATATGTGGTAGAAAGTTTATCTTGACTTCATTAGTACTTCAGTTCCACTTGTACATACTGATCATTTTCCTTTGTGCAATTTAGTGGTTTACGAGTTGTTGGTAAATGAGATGAGAATTTCACGTTGAGTTCGCTCATATTACTGCATGTTAATACTGTGGTGACATTAACATTTTTTTGTGGCTATTGATTTACACAATATGGAAAATAAACTGGATATTTAAGTCAATAAAATACCTAAATAAATGGACGAATTGTGAGACAAATGATAATGATTTTTCACTTTAACATGTAGAACATACGAGAACCCAAAATGTCCACTAGATGGCGTAGCACATCATAAAACTGACTGCAATAAAAATACCGATCACAGTTCAGTGCAATAACCTTTGGTACTGTTTATGTAAATGATCAGTCTTATCTGTTTTGATAGCGGCAATCTATGCATTTATCTATATAGAAAAATAAAATTTCAAGAAGGTAATTTGTGTAAAACATTTAGACATGAAAGCAAGTATTTATGACTCCTAGGGTTAGAATTGTAAGTATACAATTGATAAGAGTTTTTAATTGAGATTTGCACTAAATACTGTGTTGCTAGTTATTCTCTTATTTGTTTAACAATCTGCAGCAGTGAGTATTAAAGAGACCAGAAGTGGCCACCAAGAAATAAAAGCTGGACATAAATGGCGAGTCCACAGCCTTGTGTTGGTCAAATTCCTGAACACACTCTTGTGTCATAAACTTTCCCATCTGACACGACACAGCATGTCTCAGAAACCGGACGTGATGAATGTCTGACACAGGAAGTGCGGGACGATTCTCACTCGCATGTTACTTATCTGATAGGTCAAAACACACCTAAATCTCAGGTATGTTCCTACACAGTTATAAAACCTGGAAATATGTGGACATTTAAAAAATAAAAGAGTGATTTACAGGCCTGGAAAAGTAACCCAAATCTTAAAAAGTAATGAAAAAGATTGTAATTAATGTATATTGTTTTTAATGTTCCAAACCAAACTCTGAAATATTTCACTTTTTGTAAGTGTAAATTGTCAAATTATATTTAAAAAATCATTATCCAGTAATTACAAAACACCGGTGAAGTCATGAAAAAGTTGTCTGTCCAAAAAAAAGAGTTTTCTTCAGAGCTATTTTTAAAGGGTTAGTTCACCCAAAAATGAAAATTATGTCATTAATGACTCACCCTCATGTCGTTTTTCCCATTGAGTGTGTGTCTGTATGTTCCAGCATCATCACTGTAAAAAGTGATAAGTTGACTTAACTTTAAAAAAGTGAGGAAAGCCGTTGCCTTAAAATTAGGTAATAAACTTTATGCGTAATTGAAAACATTAAGTTATGTTAATTTGACAATTCCACATAACTTAATTTTTTCAATTATGTTACTTAGTAATTTTAAGGCAACGGGTTCACTTTATTTAAGTTAAGTCAACTGATCACTTTTTGCAGGATTATTATTAATTAATTTTATTATTTATCAGAATGTGGCGTCAAAACTGATGAAAGCTTTTTCGAGGGGGGAAAATACAGTTAAATAAATGATCATAGTTATTGATTTATTTTTGCAAACAAAAATAAAGAATTGCAAAGGAAAAATAAAGTATATAAATACTTTATAAATACTTTTTTTTTTGCTTAATACTTTATTTTTGTTTTGCAAAACTTTTTTTTCTTTTACAATACTTTATTCTTTTGCAAATCTGTGTCATGGTTTTGACTCCATACTTTACTCATACTAACTTATTTACCACAGCGACAATGATCAAGGATCAGGTCAATTCAGGTTCAATAGATAGTGTCGTGATTATACTCAACGTATCTGTTCTTTTTATGACATCATATGGGCCCCCTGCCCAGAGAACTTCAGAATTTGAGTATGAAGAGTTCTCGTGCGTGCGCGCCGCCGTTAAAGAGCCCAGCGTGCGCGCTCCCCTGTAACTTGCCCCCTCCCCTGTATTGCAACATTTCAACACTGTAGTTAAGTTGTCCACCCCGCCGCACGCCCACAACCATCTTTTCCGAGTGTGTTCAGAACATGGTGGTGTAGCTGGTGAACGCAGCGCCCGGGTAAGCGCCAACCAGCGGTGTTCAACTCCTACCTGAAGCCGTTCGGCTCTCACGACACCAGCCGGCCCTTCAACAGGCTCGTACAGTCAGACAGACAGGGAGGAGAACCGAGAGCGAACGGAAGAGGACGCAACGCGACACAGCTGCGGTGCGCTCGCCTGGCATGAGCTTTTCTACGAAAAAAGCGGACTTGAACTGAGTTTTGGAGGAATGTTAAACAGACAAAGTGGGGATTAAAGAGGCGGATAATGTTGGAGCATTGGCGTGGGATTTTAAGCAATGGAGTGTGATATCTCATTCTTCTTCTGAACTCCACGAGTGTTGAACTGCCAGCCCGATCAAACGACTTGAGGCCTGGGGGAGACAAAAAAAAAACTTTCGTCTTCATTTTGAACACTTTGCATTGAAACTATTTGAGATTACCTCCAAGTAAACTGGTTAAAAGGGATTACACACAAACGAGGACAAATTTAACTTCAGCCCACTTTGACTTGTCAGAGTGCCTCGATGTCATCAGTATTTTCTTCCTCTTGGAAGTTGAAATCATAAGTGTTATTCGTCTTCTGGAGTTGGCAGATATGCACAGCCGCGTTGCACCCTAGCGCGAACGGCTGATGTCATTTGGAATTGTCACGACGTCAGTTTGAGCTTGGAAGCGTTTTAATGCGCTTTGAAAAGCTGGAATAACGGTTGACATCCGGAGTGTGTGTTCAGGAAAGGACGGGGCTCCTCCATGGGGATAGGCCGTCTTCTGACCCTCGACAGGGGCAGAAGTGGGGCAGTAACGGGATATGCACCGAGTTTTGACGGGAAAAGACGGGCAGCTTTAATGTCTTATCAGGCGTGTTCCCTCCCTCCGTTTACGGGATATATTGGACGATTCTTGCTTCTTCGTGATGTCAGAACATAAGGGAGTACGTTGTTAGATATTTTTGAATAATTTTTATGTGATTTTTGACACTAAAAAGGTAAAAGCAGTGCATTTAAAAAAGTTTTCTCAGAGAAATTGGCGCCTTTTAACAGATAGGTAATACTCTTTCGACAAATAGCAACGTTAAGTTTTGAATTTGCCGACTTGTAAAGTTATCTGGCATTTGACCGAAACTGAGTAACGTTAGCAGCTACAAGAAATGTGTGAAATTTGGAAATATGAAATACAAACTTGCATTACATTTGCATGTCATTTGGAAATGGAAAGTAAATTCAAACATTGTCGAGCATTGGCGAGGGTGTTTGAGGGACAGTGTTAACTGGATTAAAAAACTAATTTAAAAACCGTTTCAGGACACCCTATGTGAACCAACCTCCTATATTTTTAGCCATACTTACTTGCTCTTGGATTGAATGCAAATTTAAAACGATGTGCTCAAAAAAGGAGGCTGAGCGGATGACAGTGCGTCAGTCTCTCGGAGCAAAAGTGCACACATGCGCGTTCACGTGCCCTGAGCCATAGAATATAATGGAATTCGAGTGCTGACGTAATCGGATAAGGAACTGCTCAAGAGTCCAAGACGGTCCATCTTCATAGTGAATGCTCTTGGAATTTCGTTCTGGCTGGACTCTTTTCAAAAACAAAAGTGTTTTTCGTATCAAATGCCACTTCCTCTGTACTGTCAGCAGTAGGTGATATGTGATAATTAAAAGTCAATTGTTGTCTCATTGCCATGGCATTGCCAGAGCAGCACCAGCCGCTACACGAGACCGAAGTTAGGTGTGATCGTGAAGGGGGAGCTGTTACTGTGCAGATAACCGACAGCCGGGATCAACAGGTGGGTCCAGACCAAGAGGTTGACCCTGTCGACATGGGCTCCTCCAAACCCTGCAAATACAGCATCTCGTCAAGCTGCAGCTCAGTTGTTCCCAGGGCTATGAGGACTCATCTGAGCAGGCCGAGGAGAGTCCCGCAGCTGTTCGAGAGGTCCGCCGCGCAGTGCTGGGACCCCAAGTTTGACTCCTCCATTCTAGAGGAGGCATGCAGGGAACGTTGCTTCCCGCAGATGCAGAGAAGATTCCGCTACATCCTGTTTTACCTGGCCACGGCTGCGCTGCTGTGGGGGATTTACTTCGGGATCAATAGCACCAGGTGTGACCCTACAACCTTCCTGGTACCCACGGCAGGGTTTCTTGTGCTTTGCCTTCTCCTCCTCTTGTTTACGTTCTCAAGGCCATATGCGCGATTCTACAACCATGCCTCCTTCCTCCTTACAGTGATCATGTTTGGCATCACTCTGGCGCCCCAGACGCAAACCGCTCTCTTTGCTCTTTTTGATGGCCAGAAAGCAGGCAATCATTCACTACTACCTGCTTTTCAAAATGCTCCTTGTATATCACCAGTTGGGACATTTTCACTCTGTATGGAGGTGCTGCTTTTGCTGTACAGTGTGTTGCATTTGCCCCTGTATGCGTCGGTGCTTCTAGGCCTGCTGTATTCTGTCCTCTATGAGGCTTTAGGTTGGCTGCACCTTGCTCAGTTGGATGGTGGTTATGTAGGGTCAGGGGTGGAAAGCTCAGACTGGCATAATCTAAGCTGGCTCGGCCCAGGTAAAGTCCTGCTGCACCTGTGCGCACACGTCATTGGCATCCACATATTCATCATGTCCGAAGTGCGCTCTCGGAGTACCTTTCTCAAGGTGGGTCAGGCGATCATGCACGGGAAGGATCTGGAGGTTGAGAAGGCGCTGAAGGAGCGCATGATCCATTCTGTGATGCCTCGGCTGGTGGCGGACGAGCTGATGAAACAGGGAGACGAGGAGAGCGAGAGCTCAGGGAAGCGATACAGCGCAGGTACGTGCTCCGTCGGCACTGCCGCCGCCGCGACCTCGTCCAGCCCCAAAAACAACAAGCGTAAGAAGAATTCTATTCCTCGTGGACAAATCATTTTCAGGCCCTTCAACATGAAGCGCATGGAGCCAGTCAGCATCCTCTTCGCTGACATTGTGGGATTCACCAAAATGAGTGCCAACAAGTCCGCCCATGCACTGGTAGGACTGCTGAACGACCTCTTCGGCCGCTTCGACCGTCTTTGTGAGTTGACCCGCTGCGAGAAGATCAGCACTCTAGGAGATTGCTACTATTGTGTGGCGGGCTGCCCTGAGCCTGTCCTCGAACACGCATGCTGCTGTGTGGAAATGGGGCTTGGGATGATCCAGGCCATCGAGCAGTTCTGCCAGGAGACGTCAGAGACCGTGGACATGCGTGTTGGCGTTCACACTGGCACCGTGCTCTGTGGCATTCTGGGAATAAAGCGCTTTAAGTTTGACGTCTGGTCCAACGACGTCAACCTGGCCAATCTTATGGAACAGCTGGGCGTGGCGGGAAAGGTGCACTTGTCGGAGGTCACAGCAAGTTTTCTGCATGACTGTTATGAGAGGGAGGATGGACGAGTGATGGAGCGTGCCGGGCACAGTGTCGCTGATCAGCTGAAAGGTAAAACTCAAGAGTAATTTTATCAAGAAGTTTTTTTTTTAATGCATACACTGGGGTGCAAAAGTCTAGTGAAAAGGCTTCTGATTTGCGAGTGTGAAATTTAATTGAGAATGAACATGAATTTCAGAACTACAGCTTCATGAGCTCCACGAGATCGCACAAAACCCGATGGTCGTGTTATCCAGTGTGATTTGAGAATGATCCTGTGAACATCTTGTGCTTCAGTTCAAAACAAAAACATATCCACATTTACTTAAATATCCCAAATATTTCTTGCATTATTTCTAAATCTATTTATTTTTTCAGGTTTAAATTTAATTTTGAAACACAGATTTGCAATGTCAGACTTTTGCACTCCAATTAACCACTCATTGTATGTTGTTAAGCTGTTTTATGTTTGTGTCGTTCCCTACTTTTTTATTGACTGCTGTTTCCCAGCTTTGCTTTGATGATGAAGATAAAGCTGATCATCTTTTATTGTGCACCTTGTAGTCATGTCCTCTCAGGACTCTGTACAAAGGGCTGCAACTCTTCTCTAGTTTTATTGCACCCTCGTTTAATCTCTTTATTACTTAACTGAAGTGAAACTGTGGAAAACGATTATTGTTTTAGACTTTTTCTGCAGTCTGTAGCTGTTTCCTCTCAGGACCCTGTATAAAGGGCTCCAATCACAGTCCAAAATTAACTCGCCTAGTGCCAGATGCTTAAGAAAATCAGCATTTGGAGCATAATTAAAACCAGTTGGTTGGTAAAAATTAGTATAATATTTAATTGTAAGAAGGAAATATATATTGTTAATTATAATACAGTACTTTTTATTCAAATTAAATGTAAAAATAATTAAAATTACAGTTGGTAATATTCCTCCTTTTGTTTTTCATTAACTGGTCACAGCCAGGTGTGACAAAAAGCTAATCTTGGCTGCAGATATTTTTCACTTTTATTGCGCCCTCATAATCTCTTTTGTATCTTAATTGCAGACTCGCTGTCAAGGCTCATTGTTCATCTGTAGCTCTATTGTATCCCTGTTGTAGCTCTTTTCATTGTGGCCTCCCTTTGTAACAGTCACGGTTGCATTCACGGTTCTGCTTTCTCAATAACATCAATGTCTGTATGAATGCCTGCATCCAGCAGAGCTGTTGATTTAAAGTCGTAGTGACAGATACAAGCAGAGGTCTCTATTTTTTTTTTTTACCCTGGTCCTGGTCCGGCCTCTCTCCCTACCCGTGTCCTTAATCTGAACCCTGATTTTGTTTCCTAACTGAACCTTTCGGGATCTCCTCCTCCTTGATCAGCTACACCCCTTCAGACATCCTCTGAATCATGACAGTATACCAACTCTGTAAACCCAATCTTTATGGTTTAGAAAACCGCTCCTGTATTTCACCAGCATTTTTAGATTCGCTCCTTGTTGATGACGAGGTCCGTTGCGCATTGGTAATTGGGGGTCCGGGTTCCTAAAAGTCATTGAACAATTAGCACACTTGTTGAACTCATCTCAAGCTCAAAGTAGTGAAGCTGACGTTTGTGGACCGGGTTGTCCACAAATGGCCCTCTGCCTTGGTGCCAGTCATGTCACCCCATGTGACCGTCTGATTCCAGTGGGTGGGTGGGTGCGAACAATGACACGCGCTAGTAACCCAGCTGTGTGAGGGATGCGTCACTGTCTGTCTCGCCGCGAGCGATTCTATTTGCAGTGTTTTCCCTGGACATTACCTGGCTGCGGTCTGACCCTGCTGTACACCTTGTGTGTTCTGCTTTCAGACTGACTGGACACAAGCTGAACTATATTTATAATGGTTCATTCTGGGGTTAAGATGGCCATTATACCGATAATAGTTACAATTAAATGAATAATTACCAATATTATTATTACCATTGTATAGGGGTGGGCGGTATGACCAAAATTCTATTTCACGGTATCGATATATTTCACGATATAGATATTTATATATGTAGTTATTCTCGAAAAATCAACAAAAAGGGCTTTGTATAATAAATAAACCCAAATACTTTAGAAATGAAAAGTACTTCACATTGTTTTCTTTTTCTCTTATTTGGTAAATGATTTATTTGGTAAACTATTTAGATAGCTAAATATAAACAAAACACACTCATCAACTTTTAGATAAACTTCCCCCAACTGATTGATATTAAATACAACTCATAGGTGCAATTAAACTTTAAATAAAGTGTTTCTGAATCATTTTTCAATCTCATGTTATGCTTTACTTCATCAATCAGTTTATAATATCTGAATATTTTATATTGAACTATTCTATTCATGATAAATTAGTTACTTCCTTTTAATTTTGTAGGATAGTAATACTAGTTGTTTAAATGTGTTCCCCGGTACATTTTTGCCATGTCTGCTTAGGCTACACTGCGTTTTTAAGGGGCTTGTTTTGCTCTTTTTGTGATATCTGGCAACCCGTCACCCTGCGCTTTAATCAATATAAGTTCAGAAGTGACTAGAAAGAGAGCAGCAGTTTGAAAACCGAACAGCAGCTACTGTTAGTGTTGACAAAGTAGCCTAGTTTAAATTATACACACCTTGTAACTGCGTCATTATTTGACCATAGCCTGGTGAACACTGACACACCGCGCTCCCTCAGTGCGTGTGCACGCGCGCGTCTTCTGCATCAGTAAATGCGATCGGAGTTAGAATTATATAACTCGCGATGCATATTTAGTAATTTTGCCTCAGATAGGCTACAGGATTAGCTATACATTCACTTTAACAAGCAGGATCATTACCACGGGCGGCAAGCTGTTTGCGTGTTTAAAAACTATACATAAGAGACGGAAAGATGCAGATAACTATACATTATTTAAGGTTATTTCTATTCGTTACGATATTGATAACTGTTGTTGTCCAGCTTTCCCCTTTGCGAGCGTGCACTAATCTGTCGCCTGGGTGCTGCACTGCTCTAGTGACTGCTGCGCCTTTCCCCCCGAAAATATCACGTTAACAACAACAACAACCCTTTAGAAAATGTAATTCCTTTGTGGATCCTCTTGATCTGCTTTCTCCGTGTTTCTTTTTACAATTCTCAGTGTTTCAGTCTCACGCACGTTGCACGCGAGTTAACCACGCCCACTTATTTGCATTTCGCGGTATACACGGAATAAAAAAATCTGTTACGGTTGACATTTTCTACCGCGGTAACGATATATACCGTCATACCGCCCAGCCCTACCATTGTACTTTCATGCTTGTCAAATGACATCGCAAATGAATAACTCTGTCGTTTTGTTGCTGCAAAACGCTATTATTATTATAAACTTTTGAACTGTAGTGTATGTTTGGATTTGTGTTCATGTTTGACAGGTTTGTGTGCAGGTGTACTTTCATATTTGCATGTGCTCGATTTGGCTATAATCCGTTCCACCTCTGTGCTCCCACACTGTGAAACGACCAGACCTGTGAATTATCACTGCAGCACATGGAGTCTAATTAGAAACCAATTATATGTGTTTATTTCCTCCTGCCTGTTTCACTTTTGCAGTCCTCTGGCCCCTGATCACACACTGACCACTGGGACCCAGGCCTAGACTACTATGTTATTTATTTATTTAAAAAATTTTTAATGTCTATTGTTAGCCTACCAAATTGTCCCGTGGCGGTGGCCAGAGGACGACTCCAAAAATGGCTCCAGGGGCCTTGCGGGGCCGTGATCCAGCCCTGGTCACCAGATCCGTAGTAAGTGTAAAATACATTTTGAGGATGCTGATCCAATGACAATTTTTGGCGCTTATATTAAATTAAACCTTGTGAATATCACAGTGATTTTCATTTGGTCATTCATTTAAATACTATTAACTTAATAAATTTTATTACTTTGTTGTCTTGCAAGTCTGAAAAAATTGGACAGATATTAATTTTAGTTTTAAGATATTAACCCTGGTAAAGCCTGTCATATAAAAGAATAGTCTAAGAGTTTTTTTTTTTTTTATTGAACACAATCTAAAAAGTTTGTATGTTTTTTTTTGTCAGTCTTTTATGGCTCCTATAGTGAGAAAATGGAGCTCATAATCAAGGAGGAAAAAAATACCTTGATTTATTTAGAAGCTCAAACTGAGCAAACACATGCGATTTGAGGCAGTTGTTGATATTTATGCGCCAAAAAGTAAGATGAAATTCTGATAGCTTGTAATAAATCATGAGATCTTTAACAGAATAGCAGACGACTTACCTTAAATGCATTTAAATATCAGTTGTCACTCTCTATATCTCCCAATAATATTATTAGTAAGATTATATTTAAATGCTTTTAAAGCTCCGTAGTTTTTATTGTGGGGGCAAAACATAATGCAGTGCAATACAATGATGATTGAGAGATCAACAAATAAACATTTCTCAAAAACCTGATGTGTCATATTTGATACATTTTAACATGATTTTGGGTGAAATTGCTTCAGTCCAGTAAGTTTTCCTCTTGAAATATTAATAACAATACAAGTTATTCTTGCGTTTACTTTTTTTTGTTATTTACTATTTAATTTACTAATTTCACAGCAAAAAGACACTGGTACCACGGCCTGAAGGGGGACGTTTTTTACAATTATACTAAAATAATGCCTTTTAATTACTAAAAAGTATAAACTATCAAACGGATGACAGAAGGCACGTAGTATAGGTTATGTACAACAGGTTTTTATTAATTTAGAGGCCATAGAAATTTGCATATGATCAAATATGATAGTTGGCTTTATAGGGTTTATATATTAAACTTTGTAGTGAAACTGGTCTCAGACTCTGTAAGATTAATTAATTTATGTGAGTCAGTTTCCATTGCAACAACTCTATTTAAAAATCTGATTTAGTCATATTTATGTAACTAAATGTTGCTGTTTATTTTGGTGCATTTAGTGTTCCTTTAGTATGTCTAGATCATTTGCAGCATTTTACTTGGTTCCTCTGATTAAAAAAGGATCTAAATAAACACATTAAATTACCATTTTAAATATTAAAATAGACACATATCTTGAAATGCCAA